TTTCCCCTTTAGCCAATTCCTTATCTGCTGACAGTGATCCCCATCTTACCTAGTTTAACTAATAATTTCCCTTGTGGTACTGTGTCAAATGCATTACTGAAGTTCAAATAAATTAGATCTACTGCACTTCCCTTATATTAAAAAATCAGTTGTTTTCTCAAAGATAGAAATCAGATTAGTCTGGCATGATCTACCTTTGGTAAGCCCATGTTGCCTTACTTCCCCTTTACCTCTATGAATTTAATTATTTTTTTCTTTCATAATTTGTTCTAAAATCTTACATACTACTGAAGTCAAAACAACAGGGGAAAAAGTGACCCTGGCAATTACAGACCTATCTTAAATACAGGTACATTAGCTATTCTCCAATCCTAAAATACTACCCCTAAATAGACAAAATTTATTTTAAAATCCTTACAACCTGATGTGACAGGTTACCTAACTGTCCCCCACATTCCGGGGTGCCACCTGATGTACTGGGGTACCAATGAACCCCCCTGTTTCACCAGTCTGGGCTCCCTTACACTGCCTTGCTGAGCCAGGCCCTCAAGATCCTTCCAGCACATACACACAAGTAGGGACACACCCAGCTGCAGAAAGACACAGACACTGAGATCAGTTCTGCATGGGAATTGCCTAGTACTCAAGTGCATACCTCCTCTGGCGTGTAAACCCAAAATGGTATTGTACTGCGCTGCACAGGGAATTATACAGCATAAGCTAAATGAAATTCGTCTCCTCCCTCAATGCGGAGGAAAATATTCACAGCTTTCTCCCTCCCGTTTACGAAATCCACAAACTGGTTTTAGAGAAAACAAAACAAGTTTATTAACTAGACAAAATAGCTTTTAAGTGATTATAAGGGATAGCAAACAGATCAAAGCAGATTACTGAGCAAATAAAACAAACATGCAAACTAAGCTTAATACACTAAAGAAACCGGCTACAAGTGGTAATTTCTCACCCTAAATGTTTCTTTAGGCAGATTGCAGAGGTTCTTGAAGACAAGCTGCTCTTGCTTGCAACTTAAAACTCTGGGTATTTCTTTCACAGCCCAGATACCTTTTCCAGCCTAGGCTCAGTCCCGTTCCCACCCCTGCCCCCTGCTGCTTGTCTTTGTTTCTTAGATGTTTCCAGCAGTCATCCTGGGTGGGGATTCAGGGAAGAATGAACCCTGATTAACTTCCCTGCCTTAAACAGGATTACATATGGAGAGAATCCTTTGTTTCCCAGTTTGATACCCACCCGCCCATTGGTGGAAAAATACTAGTAGTCCAAGATGGAGTCCAGTACCAGGTGCCATGTTCATGCGACCCTGCAGTGTCAAAGCAGTCATGAGTCAAAGGCCCTATGAAGCTTCCCAGGAAGGTGGGAAATTAGCATCTTCAAAGACCTATTGTCCTCCCTAATGGTTCATTGACTTGTCCCCACCTGAACAGCCAGACTGATTGCATTTTGTCTAGTGGGTGTTCCCCAGATGCAAACACTTTTGTAATTGATACATAGTCAATATTCCTAAATTTAGATACAAAAATGATACATGCATACAAATAGGATAATCACATTCAACAAACCAGAACCTTTCCAATGATACCTCACATGCACAAAACACATCTTAGTCACACCATATTCATATCACAATATCTCTATGAAGAATATGGGGCATAGTGTCACACTGGACTACCAATTTCAGGTGTCAGCTCTCTCAGTATTCTGGGATGGAAATTATCTGGCTTCCCTGATTTGAGCACATTAAACTAAGTTTTTCTTCTAATTCAGATGTGATAAAGTCTTGTCTAAGAATAATTTTTCAAAGCACTTGGTAAAATTCATAACAGCCATACCGGGTCAGACCAAAGGTTCATCTAGCCCAGTATCCTGTCTTTTGACAGTGGTCAATGCCAGGTGCCTGAGAGGGAATGAACAGAACAGGTAATCGTCAAGTGATCCATCCCCTGTCGCCCATTCCCAGCTTCTGGCAAACAGAAGGATGCCATTCCTGCCCATTCTGGCTAATAGCCATTGATCGACCTAACCTCCATGAATTTATCTAGTTCTTTTTTGAACCCTGTTATAGTCTTGGCCTTCACAACATCCTCTGGCAAGGAGCTCCACAGGTTGACTGTGCGTGGTGCAAAAAAAAAAAAAAAAAATACTGCCTTTTGTTTTAAACCTGCTGCCTATTAATTTCATTTGGTGACCCCTAGTTCTTGTGTTATGAGAGGGAGTAAATAACACTTCCATATTTACTTTCTCCACATCAGTCATGATTTTATAGACCTCTATCATATATCCCCGTAGTCGTCTCTTTTCCAAGCTGAAAAGTCCCAGTCTTATTAATATCCCCTCATACAGAAACCGTTCCATACCCTCAATCATTTTTGTTGCCCTTTTCTGAACCTTTTCCAATTCCAATATATCTTCTTTGAGATGGGGCGACCACATCTGCACGCAATATTCAAGATCTGGGCATACCATGGATTTAGAGAGAGGCAATGTGATATTTTCTGTCTTATTATCTATCCCTTTCATAATGGTATCCAACATTCTGTTTGCTTTTTTGACTGCTGCTGCACATTGAGTGAATGGTTTCAGAGAACTAGTCACAATGACTCCAAGATCTCTTTCTTGAGTGGTAACAGCTAATTTAGAGCCCATCATTTTATATGTATAGTTGGGGTTATGTTTTCTAATGTGCATTACTTTGCATTTATCAACATTGAATTTCATCTGCCATTTTGTTGCCCAGTCACCCAGTTTTCGAGAGATCCTTTTGTAGCTCTTTGTAGTCTACCTGGGACTTAACTATTATTCACTTCCTAGGACTTCACTTTTATTTCTAACAGTAGTTTCATGGGCATGGGAAGTCTGGGCTGCAAGGGAATTGAAACCATTATTAGTTATCCTCATTTTGGCATGTTCTAGACTGTGGTCCTGTTCTACTTCCATGCACTGCAAATTATGACAGAAATAGCTCATCAGGAACATTAGTTGGTATAAAAAGACAGTTTTAAAAAATGACTTCCTAGGAACACAAAGCAGTTCTTGTGCACCTGTCCCCAGAAACAGCTATTTTTTTTTCAAGCATACCTTATAATGTATGCATTGCACATTAATGCTCTCAGGGCCTAGTTCTGTGTGCCTTTTAAAAGGTCTCAACTACAAAGATTTGTGTGAATATGGAAACTGAACTATCCTATCACTTATAGACAGTTCTTCTAGAATAGGGTTGAGACATATTGCCAGGAAAGTAAAGGAGACCTTTATTACCAGTCCCCATATTACAGATGTGCTAGTAGTAAAAGATTCTAGGCTCCAGAACAGTCAAGATGACACCTATCCACACTTTCAAAACAAGGAGGAGGGGATTAAAAGAAAAACAAACCCACGTATCTCTCCATGTAAGTCTCTAAGCACTGTTTACATCCATGAGAATATTCTTAATGAGGCACCCACACTAAGATATTTTGCTTCATAGTTCTTACTTGGTTACATTAATCTAAAACAAAAACACAAAACAAACTCAATACTACTAAATTGCATTCTCCAAGGCAAGTTAACCTAAGCCATATGGTATTTTCCCCAGTAGTCACAATATACTGACCTTGATACTAGGAATGTGTGTGCTCTTCGGCTGTAAAAAAAAATGGTGCTATGTGGTGTACTGGCAAAAAGGACGCAGTGAGAGTGTGCTACACATCTTACAGTACAATCCTGAATGACCTCAGAGAAGTTAGTTCATCAAAAGTAAAATATTCTATTTACTGTTAATAACTACAATGACAGTGTTTGAATAACGATATCACTAAAAAGACTGCCAAGCTATTCGGACATCTGGCCTGTAATCAAACTAAATAAATCTTAACATTTTAACGTAAAATTAAATCACTGAAGAGAGGTGATCTGTTCAACCAGTTAATGTTGTTTTTATAAGGTGGGAAAGACAGCAGGATCTAACTGCTTTGCTGTTGTAAATTTCATTTGGGAAATATGTCCCTCCCTTTACACAATGTCTTGGGTAGTATTTCCTCTCTATTTCCATATCATAGGTCATTATAATACACATATAAACATCATGTAGCTCATACAAAGAAGAAAGACCCAAGAACCACAGAAAAATAATAGCTACAAATAATGCATAGCTGTGTAAATGAATGAGGATGGCTTGAGTCTGGTTTTGACCTTTAGTAGAAGTGCAAAATAAGTTCAGATCCTTAGAAGAATCCAGTCTCCCTTCCCTTTTTATGCTTTGCTATCATCCCTTCTTTCTCAGTTTCTCCTTCTCTGTCCTAGGGGGTGACATCTCAGCCTACATCCTCCTCTATCGTCAACCCAATTTGGTGTCACTAGATATAGGACTCACCTGCAATGTCTATTTTAAAAGGAAAGTTAAAAAGAGCAAATTCCACACTGAACAGGATTGCCACTCTCAAGGTAAGCGGAAGAGACAGATGCAAGAATTGGGAGAATACAGGCAGAGGATTATGTCACACATATTCCCCCCCCCAATCATCCCACCCCTTCTCCTCTAGACACCCTACCCGGGTGTCACATTAGTTAGTGAAACTACTGTACATCAGTCCAGCACCAAATTTGGAACCGGAGGAGCTGCTTCCATGCAAGCCACATTCAGCAGTTTCCAAGTGAGCAATTGCATCCAAATACCAATCCCGACACAAGACACATCTCCTCTCTCCCTGCATTACGTACACAGGCAAGCAGGAGGGCTTGCAGGGAAAGAGATGGACAATTGTCAGTACTCACACTCAGAATAACGCAAGATGGAAGCAGGGCAGTAACTTCACTGATCAATTCTCACAAGCGCCAGCAAAAATACACCGACTCCCGCTACAGCTGATCCTGCTGGGTCAACAAGTCCTTCAGTGCCTTCCCCCTCTGGATGCACTGTAGAGCAGTAAGGATTGGGGGGGGGGGAGGCTGTCCCGCTGTTTTGGTTTAAGAAGCAATCAGACCCAGGACTGTCATGCAATAAAACCCACCCTTCGCTACTGCTGTTGGGCTGCTCTCCAACGCTGCCCCGGCTACTCCTATCCCCCGCACGCCGCAGGGAACTCCTGGCTGAGGCCGGTCGGCGTGCCCCCAGCTCCAGCCAGCATCCCAGAAGGGAAGAGCACAGGGCAGCAGGGCGCCGCTTGCTCCCGCCTGGGGAGCGCCCGGGGAAAGGGGCAGCGCTGGGCTCCCCGCTGGAGCCGCTCCCTACAGGAAGCGCCTACAGGCTGCGATTGCAGTGCAAGGCGCTGCGGTTGCAGTCGGCTCCTGCCATCCCCCCCGCTCCGCGCGCCTCGCCCTACCCTGCCTCTCCTCGCCGCCGAGCCCGACACCTGGCCGAGCCCAGCCAGCCAATCAGCGCAGAGCCCTGGCCCCTGCTCGGGAAGGGAGGGGGGGAGCAAATGAGGAACTACGCCAGGGCGCGCGCGCGGACCTGGCCGCCTCTCCCAAGAGCGGGGGGAGAGGAGGAGTGTACAGCGCGCGCTTGAACCACGCGAGCCCGGGGCTGGCGCGCGCGTCATCTAAACCGTGGCACATGCATTGCAGCGCGCAAGGAGGGCGGGGGGAGAGGATGCAATTGCAGTCATCACAGGGAAGGAGGTGCGTGGTGCATAGTGCGCCCCAGGGGACAGGGCTCACGCGTGCTGCCAATTCACACAGCCTTGCCCACACGCCAGAGGCAAGGGGAAAATCTGGTTGCCACACTATTTTAAAGTTGCAGTCAAGATTGCCAAGTCACTCTCCCGCCCCACTTATTGCAGAATATAATGGAGAGGGGAATGGGATGTCCACACTAGAAATGCATGGAGGGAGCAAAGGGAGCTGATACAAAGATTAGATCAAAACTAAGATTATGAATTCTGGTCAGGTGGGAGTCCCACCTGACCAGAAGGGAAGAGCTGGGGGAGGTGAAAATTGGCATGTGTTAGAGACCAAACCCAGGAAACACAGGCACTAGGAAAAGCATAGGAGGCCCAAATCTACCAAGGTACTTAGGCACCTAAATTCCAGTTTTAAGCAACAGAACTCCTGCTCAACTGGTGCCTAACCATGGAGGCAACATCATTTACTCAGTGCCTAAGTTTCTGCAGGAAAGGTTCCCTAAGCATGTAAATTTCTGCCTCTAAGCATGCCTCCCTCCAGGTACCTGGACACTTGTCTCATAGTTAAGCAAACTGGGGGAACACAGACCCAGTGGTGCTGGAACAATTTGTACAGTCAGGGTGCTGAGAACCCTTGAACTGTGAACCCTGAATAGGACGTCAACCACTTCAAGTCAGGGGTGCAGCAGCACCCCCAACACTAGCATCTACGTTCAGGCACACTGGGCCTGATCGAGTAGGTGGGTTCAGAGGCTTCCGATTGGATAGGGTCCCATTCAAAACCAGCCAGAGGAGGAGGTGGTGGTGCTGCTGCCCATCTAATAACTTCAGCCCAGTGATTACAGCACTTACCTGGGTTTTGGGACACTCACATTCAATTCCCCCCTCAGAAAGAAAACGGATTTGAACAGGGGGTCACCCATCTTTCAGTCACGTGCTCTAACCGCTGGACTATGTAATATTCTGATGTGGGATTTCCTCTCTCTCATGTTGAAGCAGTTCCACGTGGATAAACACTTAAATAGTCATTGAGCCAGACAGAGAGAATAAGATTGTAGCCTGGTGGTTACGGTACCGAGATGGGAGACCCAGGGTGCGGTCCCTCTTGCTCTGATCACTCTCACTATTTTTCCAGAGTGCAACAGCTTCAACTGCAGACACTGAGGGAGCCCTACAGCAGAATATCGCATAGCTCAGTGATTAGTACATGCTCCTGAGAAATGTGGGAGAGCCCTGTTCAAATCCCTTGTACCCATCAAAGAGAGGATACTTCAGTCCTAGTCTCCCACACCCCAGTGAAGTGCTCTACTCCCTGGGCTAAAAGTTATAAAGGAGGCAGCAGCTCTTCCCCTGTCTGTTGTGTGGAATGAGGCAGGCACCTAACTCATTCTCACAAAAACAACTTAGGCTTCTAAGCTGTTTGACTCCAGGAGAGGATTCCTTTTTATGGATCACAAGCAGACACAGATGCCTCCTTCAGGCACACACCCCTCTCCTCAGCATTTCCCATTGGCTAGCTAAGGCAGCTCCCTGTGTAGCATGTTGGCTTGTGTGGCTCCCATTCTTAGACACCTATCCCTCCCCATTCATTGTATAGGGAGCCTTGGTAGCGGACTCATGCTTTGCAGATTGTAGTGGTGTTTTTGTGATTTCCTAGGTGCCTAAGAGATAGGTGTTGCAACATTCCACATCACAAAGCTTAAGGCCCTTTGTGGATTCAGGACAGAGCCTCTGGGTGCCTCTACAATAGGGGGGAAAAATGGTCCCTGTGTTATAGCATGGCCAGAAACAGTGCAGCACAAGTGTTTACGACCATTGTATCATGAAAACCTGCATACAGCAGATTTTCATTACATGATGGTAAAACCCCTTATATCTTTGCTTCTACCAATGCAGCTGCACCATTGGTGACATTTACTGCAACCCAGCTAGTAAGTTTTCTAGTGTGGACAAGGCCTATGTGGATAAAAGGAACAATTTGAAACAACTTTTAAAGGGGGTGAGGACGTCATGTGGAAATCTCAAGTAAAATTGTTTGTCACCACATATCTTACAAACGATCAAGTGAAAACTCAACAGTACATAGTAGAAGAGACAATATGTTCCCAAGCTTGGGAATCGACCATTTACATCCAAGGAACAGAGAATTTAAAGAGAAGTATTTCACTAATTACCCTGGTTTTTAGTTTAAAAATAAATCCTGCAAGAATGTAAATCAAACTCTCTTTTGTTGGTCCTATTATGCCTTTCAAAAGTGACGTGCAAATGGTGGGGGGGGGGGGAGGAAAGCAGAAAGTATCTGCTCTTTTCGACCTGTTGTGAGGCTTTTTCTTTTCCGGTCAGAGCAACTATACATTTTATATGTTTTTCCTTCAAACTCTCAATTTTTTAATGTTTCCTGTGGCATTTTAACTGGTCAGATAACACCCTGTTCCTATTCTATGCAGTAAAGAGTCTTACAATAGATCCTGCCTTCAGGATGATGTGATCAGGCAAAAGTATGCTCCCTGGAGCTGTAGCATTCATATATATTTAGCTTAACAAGATCTAAATTATGAGAAAGCCCAATCTATCTCACCTGAAATTTGCATTTGCTCTCCAGGTAATTGCCTCTGTATCAAGATCAGATCTTGTATTTATTATAATGGTGCCCCTTTTATTTCTGATGTAGTGATCTACAGATTAGGCTTGAATATGTCTGTTACCACCATTTGTTCCAAAGAATTCTTCAGTACTATTTATGTAATTATGTGAGAGGTAGCAGAGAGAAGTTTTCAAAATGTTCTTGGCCTATTTGCATGTATTTTTGTTATTTACTTTGACAATGTAGGTTATGGAGTTCTGTGCTGTTATAAAGTGGATATATAATAAATCATACTATCTCATAGGCTACTATGGCAGTAATTACAAGGGTCAAAATTAATTTGCTGCATCACTGGATAGCTGTTGATACTACTACTATGCCTATAAATATTTAAAGGTTTTAGGATATGTAACACACCTTCCTAAAAATGCACACAATCTTCATACATGGCATGGCACTGATCTTTTTTCCCAGTGAAGACAAAGACCAAATGTCCACTAACTTCAATTGGTGCAGAATAAGTCCCCCTGAATAGACATTGCTGATGGCTATACAGTGTGGTAGCACAACCCCATAACCGGTAGGTGAGGTACATAATACCTCCACAAATTATGCATTACAAACCACTACCTGGGACAGATGGGGGGTGATGACCCATCTCTCCAAACGGGATTAGGTGCCGCTACCCAATACCTGTATTCAAGGCCTTAGTGTAGATACTGTCTGCAGCCTATATGCCAAAAAAAGGTGGATAGATGTACACGTTTGAAAAAAAAAAAAAAAAAAAAAAAAAAAGGTGGGAGTGAGGAACCAGATGGTACAGACTACCAAGACTTCCGGCCATATGGGATGAATGTAATGTTTTATCATAATCAAGTTGTGGCCCAGTCAGTCACTGCCAACAATCAGTGAGTCATTGCTGTAATCGGACCATGCTCTTTATACATCCTGTGTCATTGCAGATTGTACTGTATTGGGCTAATTAGTTTTCCAGTAAAGTTATTTTCATACCTGTTTTTCATGCTTGCTTAACTTTATTTTAAAGTAGCTGCAGCTGTTCACTGCAAGGTACATTGGTTTGATTTCAGTTAAAATATTTTGTATTCAATAAATCTTGGCAGATTATCTAGAGAATATTTCATTTGCATTCACATTATACCACAAATGAAAGAAAATAATACATCAAATATTTATGAATGTGTGACAGAGTGCAGGGTGAAAACAGGGGAGTCTGCACTCTGATCACTCTAAATTAGTTCCCCAGTAGGCAGCTGATGGGGGTAATTACTCAATCAGGCTGCCTGGCTGAGCCAATTACCCCGTCAGCACTGGGCTGATAAGACGCAGCACAGGAAGGAAGTGGAAGGAGAGAAGGAGGAACAGGGCTAGCTAAGCCTAGCTAGACAGAGGCTCAAAACAGGGAGTTTTCTGTTATCCCCAGGCCCTAGTGAGAAGACCAAAAGCTAGTTGAATATTGTAAACGGGCTATTGCACAAGGACTGTTGTGAAATTGGTGGAGGGAACACAAAATAAAAGCACATGGTGGAGGCACAGCCATGGGAGTCTGTGCAAGAGAGGACCCATGACAGAGTATTAATAATCCACTTGTTTGAGTTAATAAAATAGGTGCCAGTCTATGACACATACATCATTTCAAAAGTGCCTTTAAAAAAAAATCTTTTTGATGCAGTTCTTCTGGAAACATCATCATCTCACAAACAAACAAAAAAAGTCACTTCTTCAGATAAAAGTTACAAAAAATAATCTTCAAGAGCAGCATTTTTCAAGTGCAACATGACACAGTAGCAAATTAGTTTGAAGAAAATAACTCTCAGCACTGGATAAAAATAAAGGTCACTCATTGCTTATATTAGTACAGTAATCAATAACATCTACCCAGCATTTTAATGTGATTGAAAAAATACCAGACTGGAGATCAATCTTGAAACTCACACCTCAAGCTAGCAATCACTGGAAGAGCAATATATTTTTTAAAAAGATTAGACATTCATATGAATTACAAACAACATTTGCAATTACATTAGCTAGGGCAAAAATTTTAAGTCCTCATGGTTCAGCACATATGCTAATAGTTAGCTGAATTCAG